ACTTTTAAATGAAAATAAACAAGGCAAGAAAAATAGTAGGACAAGCCAGCCTGTAGTGCAAAAGTTTAAATCCCAGGTCACCCAAGCTGCCCTAAATGTCAGCTGAACTCAGTAAACATCATCAGTTTATTTCTTGGGCACATGAGTAGAGGATAGCTAGCATAGCTACATATATGTGTTCTCGTGTAACTACAACTATTTGACTGTACAGGTACAACTCAATTAATTTTTTTATAAGAAAGTAAGAAACAACTGTCCAGGTACAAATCATTTATCGCCAATTAATGGGAAGGGATCACCAAATTGCATACCGTTGACCTGTAAATCTGCAAACTGTGGCCATTGCATCCTAAATGAAACACTATCATTGAGAAGCATACACCAAGCCTGTACAACATATAGGTACCACTTATCAGTATCTAATTTTCAAAGTAAATCTTCAACAAGTGACCACAACTTATCAATAAATATAGCTATCATTTACCACTCTGACCAAAATGAAACAAACCTGAACATCATATTCATTATCCTGAAGTAGATCTTTATTGGCTCTGGAAAGTTGAAATGTCTTCTCCACATTCTGAGTAGGATTTGCACTGAAAACATTGATAAATCATATTTTTTAAAATATACCAGACTCCTTACTTAACAAGCATAAAGAATATTGCAACTGCTGAATATAATTAAACAGTTAAGAACAAAAGGCTCTGTTACCAACACTGGAATTTAACATATATGAGCAGGAAAAGAACATGTGTGTTGCACTGATATGCAAAGAAAACTATAATTCTAGACAAATTCAGCTTTAATGTGTGCGTGTGTGAGAGAGACAGAGAGACAGATAGACAGACAGAAAGTTACCCATCAATTGGAATATTTGAAGCCACTAATTTCACCGGAGATAGTAGATCTACCTCAGTCACCCAAAAACTGCATGTTGGGACATATGCAAAAATATCAACCACCCCTCATTTGGGGGAATGGAAAATGAAAAAAGAAATAGGATGAGCTCACCCTCAAAAATAAACAAATAAAAGAAACTCTTACCACATTGAACCTAAAATTCCAATATAAGTGTATAAAATTGAATGAATGGTAGTGTTCATATTCAATAACCTTCCTAATCCAAGAATTAGGAATTTAACACATCTTGAACACAAGTAATGCCTGTTTCAAACCATTCAATTACATCTTTGCAAACCAATCCTAAAGTATACCCCAGTTAACAAAACTACAAAATACGCTGTGCGACTGCAACTTTATATATCATTTCAGAATAAAGACTCAATTAATTTGAAATTGATAAAAGTATGATGCATACGGATCTGCACGTTTGAGACGACACATTTCACAGTAGAAGAGAGGCCGGACTGGTAGATTGCAATCCGTTGTTTTCTCTGGAATAATAACACAGCGAATATGTTGCTGCACTTGACACCTTGGGTCCACACACTGCAGATAACATATACCTGAATTAGGCATGGCCCAATACTTTGTAAGTCAATCTAGTGAGGATTCAAATGACCTATGTGTATTTACAATTCACAAGTAGATAATACAATGGCCCATAACTATGCGCTATGCAGAATTTCAAAGAGAAAACACAGATGGGAGAAATACACAAACATCCACAAGTAATTCCTATTAAAAGTCAAACAACATTCACATTCAGAAACATCGAGGGCAGAACATAAGATAGTTTTCATGCTACAAAACCTGTATCATTGCCTCTGTAGACAAAGAACTTCCACAGGGACAGCAAATCTTCGCATTTGTATCACTAAAATTCTTAACTTCCTTTTTAGGCTTCACACTGCAGGTATCTGAACCACTCTGTTCCTTTGAAGCAGAATCAGTTGACGGTGTAATCTGCATTTTTCTGGACAAGACAATAGATATAACAATTCAAAAGACCATGAAATAGATAACTAAATTTCCAAACACAAAGAAAAGGATACAAGGTTTAGAAGAAGGCACATGAAGGATTCAGACACCCCCCACCCAAAAAAAAGGCACAACTTAGAAAAACGAAAAAACAAAATCTTAACAGGGAAAACATATACAAGAACACAAACATAAAGTGCACCTGTAAGCTTCATTAATTATTTCTGCTACTTCTTTCTTCTCAATGAATTTTTCCTTTGACAAATGGCGTGTATTGGATGCTGCACAGAACCATATACATGACAATCAATCTGATTTCTTACGAAGCATTCAGTGCGTAAATGAACAATGGACTTGAGTCTGAACTTGTTCAATTATCAAGAACTAAGTCTGCAATTTTAAACAGCCTGGAGACTATTTTGCTAAACGCCTAACCTAAACAGCTATATGTGCCACTAGGATGTACTACTTCTTGGGTTGTATTCATAGTCAAATATTGCAGTTTGGCAAGAGGGCCAGTGACCACAGAAGGAAACTGAATTTGAAATTAATGGTGTATACGATGACGTGTTTGAAGAACTTACTTTCTTCACCTGAAACTAATGCTAAGATTCTCTCGACCAGATCCTGCACAGGAAAGAGAAGTACAATAGACGGTTTACCTCATGTAACTATACTAACAAAAATAGATGAAACAGAAACATTACATCACTCAATGGATATATGTGAGCCAGGAGGTTTTGGATCAACGATGCTCAACATGCTGTTAAGCATAACTGAAAACATAAAAAAATTAAAGTACACTACCTTAACTTTTTCCATCAATCAGCTAAATAAGCAGCTACAAGATGTCTGATTGAGAGCTACAAGCAAAAGTTGACTAAACAAAATCTAAAACGTATGTCGATGCAAGAATGTAGAAATACATGACCAACAAAAATTAATGATTTGCACGACATGTTTTTCAATAACCCAAAGAAACTATTCCAAGTCAGTTGGAATTGGTTATTGGAAGATGACATAGCACAAAGGCAGTGCCAGTATCCTATAGATGCAAAGCAACACTGGCCGACACATTTCAAAACTGAGCATTGTACAACTAGCCAGAAAATCTGTCCTAAAAGAAAGAGAACCCACGCCTCAATGGTTAAAGCCCATCATAGACAGCTATTCCTTTCAAAGTACATTCACAGAGGTGACTAAATTCATGAGCAACTCAGAAGATAAAGAAAGAAGAAGCTAATAAATCACCAATCTACTGAGACAGACAACAATTGGAAACTACCCTAGCGGAATTCAAACCAATAAATATATCTAACAACACACCTGTTTCCTCCCTTGCTTTGGAAGACCCAGCTGGGTGAGAACATCCTTGAGCTCTTTGATTCGAAAAGATGCCAACTTTCCCTACAAGTTAATCACATATTAAATAGGGGGAAAAATGACATACAGTACACATAATGGCATGTGCATTTGTACAGAACAAACAACAATACACAAAAAGTAAAGACTGTAGCTAGCAATTTGACCATACAGAATGGGAAGCATTAAACTTTGACCATATTGAAAATCCCTCCAATTCAGAATCCAAATACAATGCCCACATTATCAAATCACATAATTTGAAGTAAACTACAACAATCAAGCTAATTTTTACCTTACAGTGAGCTACCAAATCCATTTCTTTTTGCCCCAGAGCACCAAATAACAATTACTGAGCCAATTAAATTTGCAAATTTCAACCAACTGCGCCCAACCTGAACCCAAAAACCAACAATAATATCAGTAAAATCAAATTCAAGTGAACCCAAAACCCAACGAACAAGTCGGGTACTCACACTGTGCCAAGCGGAGTTGCTTTCAGCTGAAGACCCAGCCTTGGTGGACCGTTTCGTGACGGACGTGAAGGGGATTTATGAAATCGGCTTTGGCCCCGGCGTACAAATCCGGGTTGTGATTGCGTGATTCGGTGCGGGTCTTACTGGTTTCGTTGGCGGTGTCTGATTGGACACGCGAGAGTTGTAGGTACGATGAGAAAACAATCGGTTGATATTGAAGTCTAGGTTGGGTGTTGAAAATGTTTAGAGAAACGATGATCGCTGAGGTTGCACTATGTCTACTTGTTTGTTTGCTCAGCAGCTATGGAGTCTGGGCCGTACAACGTGCTCGTGGCGGCTGTCATTGACCTGCTTCATTCATTCTAATTAAGTGGATCATATATTTCGTTAAATTTGTTTTTTCTTTGATAGACAAAGAAAAGATGTTGTTAGGTTTTAAACTTTTATTAGAAAAACAAAATAATAAGTAGATGATTCATTAATTTTTCTGTACACATAATATTTTTTATATTGAGATTTTAAATTAGTATAATTTATATAAGGAGGTTCGAACTCAACACATTATCTTGATAAATTGATTTAACTCATATTTGTAGATAATTCGTAATCATTGATTAATCCGTACTATGTACAAGTATAAGTTCAAGAATTTTCATTATTACTAATTTGTAATCAAGTTGATGAGAGTTAGATTCCGAATCCCTATTAAAGTTGTTTACTGAACCATATAGAATTGAAGTTGTTTATATTCATATGAATTGGTTATCTTAATAGAAGTGATGATAATTGAGATAGGGTTATTCTAATTTAGTTTTTTTTTTCAATGAAATTATTAATTTTTAAACGAACAATCAACGAAAAAAAAGGTTTTGTGAAAACAAATTGAAACCTCAAGGAGTATTTGTGTAAATTTTGAGATATGAGTAGGTTTTATGAAAACACCAAAAACCTTAGGGGTGTTGGTGTAAATAACTCATAAGAGATTGTGTGTTTCTGCTTATTTTCTATGTGTTTTTCCTCTCTATTTGTTTTCTTGTTTTAACTCAACTTTCTTTTGACAAAAAATAATAATTATAAAATTGTGTTTCCTGTTTCATCGAGGGGTTCAGAAGCCCAATAGTGTAAATTCCAATCGGCATATATATATCTATACACCCCTAAGTTTTTGTGATTTAAACTTCTATTTTTTTAACTTGGTACGTACTAGTACTTTCGTTGGAAGGAGAAAACGAGTGTGCAGGGCAACCCAAACACAAGAAGATCATAACCAAAAACGCCATGGCCGTCAACACAAAACACAGGCCTTGCTTGCCTGACCTTGTTATCGACCAAATTCTCCGAAGTCTCCCCACCAAAGCTGCAGTCCGCATGAGCTTTCTTTCCAAGCAATGGGAAGGTGTCTGGTCTCTCCTTCCCTCACTAGATTTCGACGAGGGCGGCAACCCTGACCATTATTATCGCCACAACCACGTCGTTGACACCGAAAACTTGCTTCGACATAAAAGGTTCGTCGACAACATCTTGGCAAAGTATTTGGAATATCGTTAAAAAGACGAGAAGAAAGATGTCTTAGATAAATTGAAGATCCGCATGGTAAGGTACTTACGTAGAGACGCAACTCTTATAAATAAGTGGTTGGATTTTTCATTTGAGAAAAGTGTGAAAGAGTTAGATATCAGCCTCAGAATTAGTAAGTCGCATTGGAATATTTGGGATGGTGGGTTGTGTTTTTACTACTGCATATCTCGGAGGACCTTTCTTAATGCAAAATCTTTGACTGCTCTACATTTGGAGTGCGTGAGAATCAAAACTTTTTACCACAGAGCTGCGCCTGGACCCACCATATATACAAGCCTTCTTCCCTCTTTGAAAACCATGTGCCTCAAAAGTGTGTACCTGGAAAATTATGCTATCATGTTCTTAATTCGGGAGTGCCCTTCCATCGAGTCCTTGTCACTAGCTTCATGTTCTTTTCAGAGTTCCCTATTTTTCGTTTCAAGTACCAGTCTCAAATCCCTGGAGGTTAAGCATTGCACGGCTAAGAATGTTATGGTTCATGAAGCTGTGAATCTTGAGTCTTTTACCTTCGTTTCTGCACATTTCCCGCTCGATTCAATTGTCCTGAATCAATCGGATAACTTGAAATACATCAACATTCATGCTCAGCACTTGCAAACGATTTCTTTAATTGGATGCCATGAAAGTGTGAAGGCCACAATCGATACTCCAAATCTTTTGTCTTTACAATTCAATGGTTATGTGAGCTACTCCAAAGTTTGTGTGAAAGCTCCAAATTTAAGAGCGGCCAGCATTGCACTGTGGGACGTTTGGGACGAAGAGCTATGCACCATCGACGGTCCGTGGAAACATTTTCCTGCGCTGAGAGATTTTCTTAAAGAATTTGGTTTCCTCGAAAGTTTGCTTCTCTCTGTTCCTAATTTTAAGGTATTTATATCTATGCCTATATGCTTGATAAGTTTGGTTCTAAATAGTTTTCAATTTTTGTACATATATAGATAGGGTAACCTGCAGTTTTAGCGTCAATTTATCCCCTACTTTTTTTTCAACCAATTTAGAATTTAAATTAGATGAAAATAGAGAGGACCAATCGACTGGTTAGTCAACAGACATGAACAATCAACCGGCCTCTCTATCCGTCAACTAAAACTAAAGGTGGCTTGTGTTTACATTGTAATTACTCCTCATGTATTGATGGTTTCCTTCTTTCTATTTGTTTGTTATGGATGGTGCAGGCTCTCATCTTTCCAGAGAACTTCAGAAAGACTTTCTCTTCACCTCTGCCTAATCTAAGAAATTTTTCCATCCTTTTGTCGAATCCTCCAACAGAAGCCACAGATATGTATGGCTTAAGAGAATCCTTCGGTTGGATTGCACCTTCTGCAAACGTTATCATGTTCAAGGCCGGCCCTGGCATAGTGCTAGTGGCGCAACTGCACATGGTTCTTGATTTTTGAGGGCCCCTGAAATTTTTTTACTTTATATTATATATATTAATATTACAAAAACTATATATACTCCCGTGTACGCAATACATTGACACAAAAGTGTATTTGGTGGAGCTGGTTTCTAGCGCATATCCCTTGGTACAAGGGCCATGTTTGAGACTCAGTGATTTCATTGGATTTTTATTTTTATTTTTATTACATTGTGTGAGGGCTCCAATTTATTCTTATGTAAATGTGTAGATACTAAATACAGAGGCTCGAGATACATTGAATTTTTCATTTGAGAGAAGTATCAAGGAGTTAGATATAGCCTTAGAGTTAGAAATCTGCATTAGAATAATTGGGACGATGGGTTGAAATTTTACTACCGCCTCTCTCCGATGACCTTTATAAATGCAAAATCTTTTACTGCTCTAAGTTTGGAGCACGTGATAATCAAAGACTTTTACAAGACGGAGCTTAAGCTTGAGAGCCCACCATATGTATGTGTGACATATTTTTTTATTTGTGTTCATAGGAGTCAAACTGGCAGATAACAAACAAGAGCTGCTGCATGAAACAAAACTAGCTCAAGGGGTAATCACCCGGAATACAAAAGAGATCAGAGAAAAACATAAAACATGGGCTTGGGAATTGAGGTCTGAAATTGAATTTGTTTGTGGAGTTTTTGGTCTAGGAATAGGGCTACTGCTTGTCCATTAAGAGAAAAATATGGTCCAAAGTTTCCCTTCAACAAATTTATAAATAAAATTAAAAAATAGAAGCTGATATTTTTAATGGGCTTTCAAAATCTTTTAGCGTGTTTAAAAATGTCTTTCATCTGACCCTAATCTTTCGGTGGTGAAAAAGGATTTGCCAATATGATATAGACCTGTAAAAAAGGATTTGCCAATATCGTATAGATTAGTAAAAAAGGCCTTTTACTTGCAAACAAGAGCTTTCAAATTCGAACCTCCATGATACTATAGTTATGTGTGCATGTGTGATATCCCCCTTCCTTTTAGTTTAGACTATCACCATTTGCCCAAACACAATACCAATTCTATAGATCTACAGAAACCAAAAGATATATAGACATGAAAAACAAAATTAGTTAAATTAGAAAACCCAATATGAAATATATATATATATATTGAAAAGCAGACCTTTACCTTGTGGGTGTGTGTGAGAGCTTGACAAATGAGAGAGGGCTAAGAGGGCGAGCTGAGAAACCATCCAAAACAAGACCTATACCTTGGACCCAAAAACAAGATGAGAAATTTGAGAAACCCTTGTTGGCAAAGAGATTCAAGAGATTACCTATGAAAATGCAGAAACACAATGTAAGTAAGATAATTAAGAGACTCAAATACTTTAGAAAAAAAAAAAGAAAAAAAAAAAGAAGAGAAAATATAGCAGGGACACGCGGCAAACAAAGCCAGCCATGCGCATGCCTTAGAAGAAGAAGCTGCTGCCATGGCTCATAAGAAGAAAGCAGCTGCAGCCAACTGCGAAAGATAGATGTTGGTATTTATAGCCATTTTTACTTTTATTTTTTATTTTAACTTAAACTTGAGCATATCCAAAAATTATAGAATTCCTGAAGTAGCCGTAAAACAGGGATTCCATTGTTAAACCATCCATGCCCATGTCCTCTTGGAGATGCACTACAAATTGCCCAATGGCCTCCTACTTCACCCATGTGCTTGTAGATAGAGTTATTAACATCTCATGTCGTCATAGTAACCAAACAGACTCCTACTTCACCTCCCCGCAGATTTATTATATAAGTAGTTTCTTACAATACAAGAAACAAAGCACCAATACCCACATTCCATTTTCCGTTATTTCTCTTGCCCCATAGAATACCCACATTCTTCATCTTCTTGCAACCAAAAATATGTCTGGTTCTAATTGTCCTTCTTCTTCCCAATAGAGACCATGACAAATGCCACTATCTTTTCGAGATCCAGCCATGGTGAACCAAGTGTTGTTTAACAACGCAACAAAAGAACCTATCGTCCCTCCATTGCCTCTGTTCTTTCAAGGTTTACACATTCCACCAAACCCAGAAGAAATGCCTCTGCGCTTTCAATGTTTACCCATTTCACCTGTTGGTGCTAAAAACTAGACGGGTAGTAATGAGACCCACTTAAAGATGAGGTGGATGTTCAAGGTGAGGATCCTTAGTATGTGAAAGCATTCGGCAGACAAATAGACATGCATGCAAAAGACGGATGTACATGGTTCACCCGAATAATGGGCTATATCCACGAAGAAGTATGTTCTCATTATGATAATGTGTGTATACATTGTACATGGGGTTAGACCCAAAGAGAAGAGGAAGAATGTTGAAGGCTGAAGGATCTGGGTGAAGACCAAAGATCTGTGGGCCAGTAAATGAAGGTTGAAGGCCGAAGGATCAGGCTGAAGACAGAAGGATCTGGCTGAAGACGAAGGATCTGTGGGCCAACAAATGGGCTCATGGGTCAAGGTTTAGCAAATGAGCTCATGGGTCAGCCTATAGGGCCCCAGTGAGCCATATGGAGCCCCAGTAGCCCGCCAAACTCTCCCTTTTCTTGAAGGAGAGAGGTCTCCTTTTATAATTGAGGGGGAGTCCCTTCTTCTTGCGTTTTATCGATATGGGACTCCCTTCCCCTTGCTTGGAAGTGCTTGGCCAGATATTGTATAAACATCACCAAACCTAGAAGAAATGCCTCTGCTCACCCCAAACCCAATGCCTCTGTTTTTTCAAGGTTCTGCCATTGCCCCAAACCCAAACAGTGCTTTAGTTATGCCATCAAACAACTCAACAGAAGAACCTATCGTGTCTCCATTTCCTATGTTCTTTCAAGGTTTACAAATTTCACCAAACCTAGAAGAAATGCCTCAAGGTTTACCCATTTCACCAAGTCCAGAAGAAATACCTCTACAATTTCAAGGTTTACCCATTTCACCAAACCCGGAAGAAATGCCTATGTTCGCCAATGCCTCTGTTTTTTCAAGGTTCTGCCATCGCCCCGAACATAAACAGTGCCTTAGTTATGCGATCAAACAACCTAATAGAAGAACCTATCGTCTCTCTATTTCCTCTGTTCTTTCAAGGTTTACCCATTTCACCAAACCTAGAAGAAATGCCTCTGCTTGCCCCAAACCCAATGCCTCTGTTTTTTCAAGGTTCTGCCATTCCCAGTGGTATCCGTGGTGACCCAAACCCAAATCGAGTCTTCTTCATGCCATACAGTTATGCAAACACAAACCAAGATGCTTTTGTCCCTGTTATGGCTCTAGACATATCCACACCATAAATGAATATATGGGTTCCTTTGAACTTTTTTTACATATGTCGAAATGTAACTGTGGAAGTTTTACTGCCATTAGTGTTCAATCAGATTGTTCGAGTCGGACACAACTTAGGCCTGAACACTATCCTTGCTTCGTTAGAGACCATATAAGGTTTCTTGCCCAATCAGAATTCCACCATATTCATAACCTTCTCAAAAGGTTACTCAATTCCAGAACAGCTTATTCATGACTTTCTTTCAAGGTATTTGATTTTTCTTGAGTTTTCTGTTTCTCGCCAAGAGTCTTTATAAGGTGAGCTCAACAAATGATAAGATTTGTGTTGGTGCTAAAAACTAGACATGTAGTAATGAGACCAACTTAAAGATGAGGTGGCTGTTGAAGGGAATAACCTTTAGTATGTGAGAGCATTTGGTAGGCAAATAAACATGCATGAAGAAGATAGATGTACGTGATTCATCGGAATAATGGGCTACATCCACGAAGAAGTAAGTTCTCATTATAATAATGTGTGTATACATTGTACATGGGGTTAGACCCACAGAGAAGAGGAAGATTGCCGAAGACCAAAGACCGAAGGTTGAGGCTGAGCGATGAGGGCTGAAGGTTGAAAGCCAAAGGATCTAGTTGAAGACCAAGGATTCGTGGGCCAGCAAATAGGCTCATGGGTCAGCTTATGGGGGCCCAATGAGCCATATAGAGCCCTAGTAGCCCGCCAAGCTCTCCCCCTTCTTGAAAGAAAGAGGTCTTCTTTTATAATTGAGGGGGAGTCCTCTTTTCTTGTGTTTTGTCGATATGAGACTCCCTTTCCCTTGCTTGGAATGGCTTGGGAGTGCTTGGCCAAATATTGTATAAACATCACCAAACCCTGAAGAAATGCCTTTGCTCGCCCGAAACCCAATGCTTCTGCTTTTTCAAGGTTCTGCCATCGCCCTAATCCCAAACAATACCTTATTTATGCCATCAAACAACTCAATAGAAGAACCTATCATGCATTTATTTCCTTTGTTCTTTCAAGGTTTATAAATTCCAACAAACCCAGAAGAAATGCCTATACAATTTCAAGATTTACCAATTTCACCAAACCCAAAAGAAATGCATTTGCTCGCCCCAAACCCAATGCCTCTGTTTTTTCAAGGTTCTGCCATCGCCCTGACCCAAATAGTGCCTTAGTTATGTCATCAAACAACTCAAAAGAAAAACCTATCGTGCCTCTATTTCCTCTGTTCTTTCAAGGTTTACAAATTTCATCAAACCCAGAAGAAATGCCTCTGCAATTTCAAGGCTTACCCATTTCACCAAACTTGGAAGAAATGCATATGCTCGCCCCAAACCCAATGCCTATGTTTTTTCAAGATTTTGCCATCGCCCCAAACTCGAACAGTGCCTTATGCGATCAGACAACCCAACATAAGAACTTATCATGCCTGCATTTACTCTGTTATTTCAAGGTTTACCCACTTCACCAAACCTATAAGAAATGTCTCTGCTCTCCCTAAACCCAATGCCTCTGTTTTTTCAAGGTTCTCCCATTCCAAGAAGTATCTATGGTGACCCAAACCCAAATCAAGTCTTCTTCGTGCCATACAATTATGCAAACACAAACCAAAATGCTTTTGTCCCTGTTATGGCTCTAAACACATGCACATGACATATGGGTATATGGGTTCATTTGAACTTTTTTTACATACGTCGAAATGTAGCTATGAGAGTTTTACTACCATTAG